GAAATTAACATAAGGTACAGACCTTATATGAAATTCACCAGTTTTGCTAGTGCTGTTCTTTTTCTGTTCCAGGGACCAAATGGGAGTCCACAGCATGTGGATTTAGTTGATATGTCTTTTGGTCTGGGGAGGAGACTCTTAGTGGAGGCTGTAAGAAGTGAGGCAATTGCTATTGGACCACTGGAGGAAGTGAGGCTGTAAGACATGGTGTTATGCAGTGGTAAAATTAAGGTCGGCAACACTTATGTGCAGTAAAACACAGAAGGTAGAAAATGTACCTAATTCAAGATGAATTGCCAAATTTTCAGTTGGCTTCTTTTAGTGATGTTAGATGGTATCACAAGAGAGATGTCATAAGAAAGGAACTATTTAGTTTTCCAGAGGATCGTAGAGGAAATATACAGGGCCTCTGAGGGCCCTGTCTCGTAGGGCCAGTCTCTTTAGCCAGCAAGAGCCTCAAAGTAAGAAATGGCCTCAGGGGCCTGCTTGTAAAATGTGGCCTCAATGTGAAGATATAATCAGAATTCTATGTTAAGACCTCTAAAAAAGTTAAGATATTGCCTTACAGACCATCTTATCTAGAATAAAGAGTTTCTAGGAATCTTCAGGGTCCAACAGGGCTCAAAGTGAAAGAATTAAAGATGTGGCTTTGGTGCATAAGGAGTAAACTCCAATAAGAGTGATAGAAAACCCACAAAATTTTAAACAGAATTGTATTGAGAAGAGCACCAGCAGCTTGGATCAAAGAAGGAGGAGATAGTTCAAATGGGGAAAATAAAAACCTCTAGGCCCCCAAAGCTGTATGGGTAGGAAGGAACCTGAGGGAGATATTCAACTATAAAGGGCAGGCAGTTTCTTATGGAAAAGGAAGATGAACTCAGAGAGGATAGCTTGGACCCCAGAGCAGGAGCCAAGAACACTGGATTAGGGAACTACTCTGAGGGAGAAGAAGCAGGCTGTACTGGAGAACTAGATCCTCAGTCAGGATGACAGTGTTTGGCTGGCTTTCAGAATGCTACAGGCTAGTGACTGCTATGTGCCTTCCATCACCCCTCTCCCTTGAACAGGAGCGTCTAGTATAGGAGTGTCTATTGTAGGGGTTCTATCCCTGTATGTTGTGTATGTAACTTGTATTTTTAGTGCAGAGGACTCAAGAAGAAGAGGAGCAGCATCTGAAATGCCTCATCCACATCCAGGCCTACTGTAAATGACCAGATCCTAGACCTTAGAGCCAATGTGGTACAGAATGATCATTTTGGGAGAGAAAGGAAGTATATTTTGCATGTCTTTGTGGGTGTGTATGTCTGAATTTTTGTGGCCACAAGGTGGATAATGGCGGAGTGTTTCCAAATAAGACTGCTAATTATTCCTCCCATCACAGCCACTGCTTCCATTAAGAAGTAGTCTGTTTCCTCTGGCTGGCCTTCTGACTTGCTTTGGCCAAAAGAATGCAATGAAAGTGATGTTCTGGGACTTCTAAACTTTCAGCTTCAAGAGATTTTGTAGTTTTTGTTTTTTCCTTCTTGGATCCAGTCATTGTGCAAAAGAAGCTTGGGCTGGACCTCAAAATGATGAGCAATTACAGGATGAGAGGGAAGGCTGTAGCCATTTTAGCTCCTCATGTCAAGCCGAGGTGCTAGACATGTGGGTGAAGCCATCTTGGGCATTCCAGCCCCAGACAAACTCACAGCTGAAGGCAACCACATGTCTGACCCCAGCTGACATCCTGGAGAAGAAGAACTATTTTCCTTCTCCAAACTGCTGAAGTCTGAAAAACTAAATGATTTTTTTAAGCCATCGAGTTTATGATGGTTTGTTATATAGCAATAATTAATTGAAACAGTTTTCAAATTTCAGGGTGTTTTCTGTTGCTTTAACTTTTCTCCAAGGAGACTAAATTTCATAAAAGCTGAACCGTACATGCCATATCATTGGTCTATCTACAGAGCTTAACACAGTACTGGCACATAATAGACACCTAAATATTTGTTGGTAGAATCATTAAATGAATGAATGAAGACCACAAACCACAAAGCCCTTGGACAGACAAAAAGAGATACTTTAAATTGAGTTTATCCCATGCATTTACTCTTTGAAAAAGGTATTCTTTGTTATCAGAAAAAGTGATGTCTCAGAAGCCAGCAAGAAGTTCTGAAGGAAAAGACAGGAGTGAGGGAAGGGTCAAACTTGACTTCTTCTAAATGTACCTCCTATACCTAGACAAGTGAGGGCTACTCTGTAAGGTAGCTGGTTAAATGCCCCAATACCTGCTGGTATATAAAAATTATTATATTTTCTATTATTGGAAGAGCTTAAAAGCAGAATGTGTGTTCCATAAATCTAGAGTTAGAATTAATATTAAGGGGACCAAAGTAGAATATCCAACAGCCAACGTCAGACTGAAGATGAAAACAGTCAAAGCTGTCTTGCCATGTTGAGTCTTTTCTTTTCATCACTCTCTAGTCCAAATCACAATTTCTGAATGCCACTTGGGCACAGTGGAGGCCTGATCTACTTTGTTGTTCTCCCGGGAGTATCTAGACCAATCTTTATTTCTCAGAGTGATAATTTCATACAGCAAACCTCTCTACTGAGATGTGAAAGAAAAATAAGGGCCATTTGAAATAGCTCCAGGAGAGATTTAGGACATGGAGTTCATAGACAATCATGGAAACTTCTTTTAGGACATGGTTACTTGTATAATCCATAGTAGAGCTTTCTGCTGAAATGCCTTTGGAAAATATATTTATTTCAAAGAACAGCAATATTTGTAATCAAGATAAATGAAATAAGGGGAAAGCCTTCGGACCATTGGAAGGATGGGATGGTTCAGATTCAAACCTATAACTATTATATTTTCCTATTTTGCATTACATCGAAAACAGTCGTTAAACAATACAAATAGAGAAACTTGCTTTAAAATTAAAGCCATTGATTTACGTCTCTATTTGAAAGGTCAATGTGTGAGGTATGAGAGGTGAGAAAGGCACTACAGCATGCATTGTTCAACAAAAGACATGTTTGTAGCAGGACCTACAAAGATCAGATCAACCATTTATATCATCCACATCAAGTTGCTGGTCATTTCATTTATCAAGATATTTTCTTTGGATATTCTTTGGGTGTACTAACAATACAGTTTTGTAATTAGTTGTTAGAAACTATAATTAAAGCTCGTTTGTCATGTTCACTGATTATTCTATATAGTCTCCCTGAAGCTTTATATAATTCTCCCTTTGTTATAAGCTTCTGTTTCTCCCTAGGGTGTTCTGAATCCCAACAGGTAAAGAACTGAAGTGTTTGGAAACCAATATGTATTGTGTTATCTGTACTGTCAAGTACATGTTTGCCATTGAATTTTTTAAATTATTTAAAAAACCTTTCTATACATTAGATAGGGTCAGCTATTTAGAGGATTCAGCTCTACTACCTAGGTAAGGAAATTTCTTGGGTAGAAGAAAAAAGTGAAGAAAAACAAAATTGGAAAAGGATACATCACTGTTTCCTTCAGTAATCTGCTTAAAAGTGGGAAGAGGAGGAGGTTTTTATTCAGCAATTTCTAGTAACTGCCTAATACTGCTGTCAGGCTGGCCAAATATCTGCCAATATTGGTGATCCTTTCCTTCATCACTAGAGAAAAGTACAGGAACCTGTTGTTTAAAGTAGCAGCACAACTACTTCCCACTTTCTCCCTTTAGCCGATGGAAGTGCTTGTGGGCCAGTCTCATATTCCCACACTTTAGTGCTGGTGATGTGTACTCTCTCGGCTGCACAGTAACTCTGTGTCATGGGAATTGAAAAGAATCCTCTCTCCTCATGCCTAACTCCAGCAGGGCAGAAATGAACGAACACATGTTTTTCCCAGGAGTGGATTTCAGAACTTCTCAGATGCTGTAAAAATAATTCTCACATAGGGTAGCCTTCAGGGATCTTGGGACAAGCTCAGCAACCTGAGAAGCAAACATGGGACATTCTACCCCTCCCCAATATACTTCCCCTCTTTCCATTTCATCTTCACTTTGCCTTGCCCACTTCAAGCAGTAGTTGATATTCATCTGAGCACAGCTCAGGTTCTTACCATAAAATCTAGTGGAACACCTAGAAATCAGCAACTCTTTGTCCTTTGTAGAATAAAGAAATCTCTAGCTCCCGCTAGGCTGTGTGGACAGAACTTTCATCTTTGGAAACCAAAGTAGGAGCAGGCTTTTCTCCTGCTCTTTCCAGGCTGCTCTTCATTGCCCTTTCCACATTGGCCCCTGTTTTCCCCAAGCTGGCCAGGGCCCGTGTGCAAAATCAGCTTCCAGTAAATACCAACACTTAAGTTTCAGCAGGATGCTAACTCTTGTAGATCTATCTTAAAAGGGTGTTAGATATAAATGCAAGATTTATGGAGCATAAGAGATCGCTAAGAACGTTTTAAGTATCCCTTGGTTTAATTAGCAGTCTTGGAGTTAGGTAATGGCCTGTGGCTTCTAAGCTAGGTCTCCTGGGGTTTCTAGTCTTCAGGGGTTGCCTACAATTATAATGCACTCACATACAATCTTTTTCATATACAAAATAAGTCTTCTTTAGACCTTCTTAGGCAACTACTCCCAATTACTGCAATACTCATGCAAATTGATCTCTATTCTTTCAGTGCCTAAACCGACCCAGCACCTCTCAGCCTAGGTCTCAACACAGACTACTTGGGGATTCCAATTGTGTCCTTGAGTCTTACGTCCCAGGGGAAAGAAAAGAAATTCTTATATTGGTGTTGTTGATGCCTATTTTCTCCAAGCCGAAGGTGGATAGCTCTCACTGTAGCTGATCAGTGTCTAGGTAAATGTGCTCCAGTTCTCAGCATTTCTGAACTAGCTGCCTCACAGGGATGGATCAACTAATGGGGCTGTAAGCAGACATGACAGGTTTGTTTTGGGCTGACGGCCATTGATTAGGTTCTTGGACCAGATAAGTCACTTGGCCAAGTTTACAGTAGGTGGGGCGCGCTCACTAGCTCAGGGTTAGTGACTTAGTGACTGGAAGTTAGTTGCAACATCGGTGTATTTAAGCAGCGGGCTGCGGCAAGAGATACCCTCTTGCCCTGAGACCACAGCACCAGAAAGTTTCGCCCTAAGGGCCAGGGCACTAGCGAGGGAGACACAGCCCTCCATGGCACAGCCCCTTCTCCCAAGGAAGGAAAAATGCAGTGTTAGGTGATCCAGAGGTAGGAGTCTCAGGTCTCGCACATTTGGTGTGCTCTGTGGGTAGCAGGCGAAGGGTGGGACTAGCTTGAGAACTCTCGTTCCTAGGTCTGCAAAAAGCAGCGGCGGCAGCCAACGGTGCAGAAAGGCTGGGGCACGTGCTTGGATGTGGGTGCTTGTGTAACCAGCTCCCCAGGCGTCAGCCTCGACAGCGCTCTGGAAGGTGGTTTTTCTGAGCTAGTGTTTCTGCCGTGAACTGGGAGACTCTGGGGTCCCACTGCTGCACCCTGGGCGAAGGAAGCGAACCACTCGTCTCTGCAGATATCAAAAGCGAGTGGGAATTTGGAAAGTTCCCCAACTAAGAACACACGTGACCTCCTCCTGAATGTAGTTCCGACTGTGGCCCGTGTATCCCTCCACCTCCTTTGAACCCTCCTTGGTCCCTTCAGCCCCGCCCACTCGGAGAGGTTGCAGCTTCCTACCGTCGCGTACTTCACAAACGCGCCCAGCAACGCCGGCCTTCCTCGTGCACTGCACTGCTAGGGGAGCGCGGAACCTGGCCCGAAGGCGATCCACCCATCCGGGTTTTCTCAGCGGCCCAAAAGAGGCGGGGCGATATAGCCACTGAGGACAGAGCTTGAGTTCGACGCGAAGAACCAAACCAGATCCTCAACTGGGGGGAAAGGCTCGGCCCTCCATTTCCCCCCAGGGGGCAATGCAGGGGCCGTGGGTTGCATCCACCCAGGGGGTCCGGCTTTCAGTCCACTTAGACAGTTGTTTTTTGGGTCCAAGAAATACAGGAACGATGTTTGCACACTCAGCGTGCTCGACTTTCATTTTTAGGGCAAAAGGGCCGGGTTGCCGGGGAAGCGGGAGGTGGGGCGGTGAAAGGGGGCCGGATGAAGTGATACACAATGGAGACACAATGGGGGGGGGTGTTATTTGTGCTAAGACTGACACCTTGAGGACAAGGGAGTAGGGGTGGGGGTGAGGTGAAATTTCGTGGCAAGGGCTGCCGCAGTCAAATCTTTGACGATTGTACTCAGACAGCGGTGTAAAAGAGGGAGGCTGCAGGCCTTGGCCAGGGAAATTTAGGAGCGGTGCAAGGGGCGGGTTGTCCTCGCTGTAAGGACCGTACCTGCATTTCCCTTTACACTGACCAGCGCGGTCATCCGGTCCTTTGCACCTGTGCACAGGTAGCCTCAGACTCGCGTCAGTGACACCACTCAACGCACCCGCCTCAGCTTTCACCATTAGCACTCCGCAACAGCCTACCCTGCATCCGGCTGCGTTTCTGGGCACAGGCCGAGGCTTAGCTCGTCCTCCCCGCCCTGCGTTGCACCAGAAACAGCCGCGGCAAGTGCAGCTAGCTACTGGCCAGCGTCTCAGAACAAGCCCGAACGAGCCTGGATGGCCACACTGGGCATGCTCAGTGGCGGAGGCAGGTTGGGGCTCGGGGTTCGCACCTGGAGCTACCTGCCCCTCCTACCACCCCTGCTCTACCCCGTCCTTCCCTCCCCCAGCGCGCTCCCGTACACCTCCTGCCCTTCTCCGGACTCCCGAGGCGCTCGGGTTCCCCGCGCGGCAGCGGAGGGGGCGGGACGACCAGCGGACGGTGATGTGGCGGAACTCTTTGTGCACTGCGGCAGGGTACACGTTCGGCCTCTGGGACGCGGCTGTGCTGCGGCTGCGCTTAGTTCTCTCCTCTCGGAAGCTGCAGCCATGATGGAAGTTTGAGAGTTGAGCCGCTGAGAGGCGAGGCCGCGCTCAGGCGAGGGAGATGAGAGACTGCAGCGGCCGCGGCCCAGAGCCCCTCTCAGCGCCTGTGAGCAGCCGCGGGGGCAGCGCCCTCGGAGAGCCGGCCGGCCAGCGGCGGTGGCGGCAGCGGCGGCGTTCCTCGCCTCCTCTTCTTTTCTAACCGTGCAGCAGCAGCCTCGTCCTCGGCTTCTGAAGGGGAAGGTGGAAGCCTTGGGCTCGGGCGGGAGCCGGCTGAGGCGCGGCGGCGGCACCTCCCGCTCCTGGAGCGGGGGGGAGAAGCGGCGGCAGCCGCAGCGGCTACAGCTCCGAGAAGGGGGTCGGAGCCGCCTGTCACCATTTCCAGGGCTGGGAACGCCGGAGAGTTGGTCTCTCCCCTCCTACTGCCTCCAACACGGCGGCGGCGGCGGCGGCACGTCCAGGGACCGGGGCCGGTTTTAAACCTCCCCTCCGCCGCCGCCGCACCCCCCCTGGTCCGGGCTCCGGAGGCCGCCGGAGGAAGCACTCGTTCCGAGGATTATTCGTGTTTTCCCCATTCCGCTGCCGCCGCTTCCAGGCTTCTGGTTGCTGAGGAGAAGCAGGCCCAGTCGTTGCAACCATCCAACAGCCGCCGCAGCAGCCATTACCCGGCTGCGGTCCAGAGCCCAGCGGCAGCAGAGCGGGGGGCATCAGCGACCGCCAAGTCCAAAGCCATTTCCATCCTGCAGAAGAAGCCCCGCCACCAGCAGCTTCTGCCATCTCTCTCCTCCTTTTTCTTCAGCCACAGGCTCCCAGACATGACAGCCATCATCAAAGAGATCGTTAGCAGAAACAAAAGGAGATATCAAGAGGATGGATTCGACTTAGACTTGACCTGTATCCATTTCTGCGTCTGCTGTTCTTTGCCTTTTTCTGTCACTCTCTCTCAGAACGTGGGAGTAGACGAATGCGAAAAATTTCCATAGTTTGGGTGACTATAACGTTTAACCCTGGTTGAATTTCGTGTGTGTGTGTGTGTGTGTGTGTGTGTGTGTGTGTGTGTGTCTGTCTTTGAATTCATTCAACCTAGGTAGGGTGTGTTCAGCTAGACGGAACTCTTGGCCTGGTTGCAAGTGTCAAGGCACCGATTGGTTTCTTGATCTATCTATGGGGTCTCTTCCTAAAGGCTATTGTCCGTTAATACAGAATACAGTACGCTATTAGAGATTAGTGAGTTTGGTAATCTGGTCTAGTTAATGAACAGAAAAGTAGACGCTTTGAGGTTGAGCATATTTTGATTAAATCTTGGCTTTAGGCCCTAGATCAAGGGTATAGATCAGATTAAATGAAAATTAGTGCTGCACGTACGCATATTGCATCAGAAATCTTGCAGTGATTGTTCTTAGTTTCCTGGGTTGCATCGATAAATTCTTTTAAAATGTGAATTGTAAGCTGGTTTGCATAATTTTAGTAGCAAAGTCATTTTCAGTATATATGGTGCTTATTTGAGGGCAAAAGTGAGGTTGGTATATTTAAACTAAGTTAATTACAACTTTGGCATTTAGAAGTTTTGTTTTTTGAGATCAATAGTGCCATAATATGCCTCATACGGCACTCTTATTAGATCTTTGTTAAATTTGCCTTTTTCTCTGGTGTTGGGGTGGTGTAGGATAGGGCATGAAATTTGCAGTTCCAGTAGCATTTAATATTCGGTGCTCTTGTTACACCTAATAGAATGGAGATGAAGTGGTTTTTGATCCCAGATAATAATGTTGTGTCGGTTCAAGGGATTGTGTGCAGCAAATGGTGATTGCAAAGATTAAACCTAAGTTCTCACTTGAAATTTAAGTATTGTGATGCTAGAATTGCTACTCAACCTTATTTAGGTTTCAGGCCCCCTGACACCTTTAGGCATCCCTTAAATTTACTCTGGCTCGTGTAACATGTCAAGTATAATTGACCACCTAATAGCCAGAAATACTGGTGAGAGTGGATTACTCCAGCTTCAGATGGTAGTAGGTATGTTAGCTTTCTCATAGTGTTAAATTTACTGAGTCAGCTTGTTTAATAAGGCAGAAACCCAGAAAATTTTAACGGTGCATAGTTTTGGTTGTCTAAAAGTTAGGCCTCTGTACTTCAAAAGATAGCGATTATCAAAAGGCATTAATCTTTGCAGTTTCAGATACCAGAAACTGGTTTTGATCAAGGATGGGGATAGAGCCCCTCCTTTTGCAGAATGGAAAATACCACAGGAATTGAGAGTTATTGGTAGGCCACTGTACAAAGCATAAAAAACAGAATTAAATTACTGTTTCGAGGTGACTGAACTAGTCTATTAAGGCCAAAAATTTGGTGCGAATTGTAGCAGTGGGCAATATATAGTTAAAATTATGTAATTGCATAAGTGTTAATAGAGTATTCTTAGTAAAAATTATTCTGGCAAATATCAGTAAACATTTTGCTTAAAGGTAGAGTGACACTAATGTGTGTAAGTCCTGCTAAATACTGTGAGAAAGGGAAAGGTTTTTTTTTTTAAACATTTTCTGAAGAGGTTATATTTCTTTGGATATGTAGCTTCACATAAATGTGCACAGCTGATTTTTGTTTTGAAATGATAGAAGTTCTTAAAGAAATAGCTTTACACCACACAAAATGTTAACAGTTTTCTAAGTTAAAAATAGTATTGAAGAAAAAGAATTGGAAATTTTGGAGATTGCATTAATTGAAAAATTTCAGTAAGGCTGAATGAACTTGACCTGCTTGCCTAGGAGATAATTAATTATGAAGAAACTCTTCTGATTTGTAACATTTCAAAAGTAGTGCACTGGTGGTAGTTGTCTAGGTATACAAGAACAAATTAAATGTTTATTTAAGTTTTTTAAAAAAATTAGAGTGACATTTGGTGAACAGATTACTTTCAGTAGTCAAAATTTGTTTATGCTATTTGTACTTTACCCATTGAATTAAAAGAATCGGGGTTATAAAACTAAAATTATTCTTCCAGTTGCTTATATATGAGAAATGAGGTGGGTGGCCATTTCTTTTTTCATTTCAGAGTATGTGTGCCTTTATATGTGAAACGTCACTTAAAACTTTCTCTAAAACTGTTTTTAGTTATGGTATGCATAGAAAGCAGTGCCAAATATTGCATCAAATGACTAACAACACTTAATTTCTAGAGTTGTGGTTTTATTGAGCCAAATGTTCATATGAAAAAAATTAGGAAAAAGTCAGTGAAGAGCTTACTTTTTAATGATGGTTACACTTCCAATAATTTTGATACACTAAAACACTTTGATTTGGTTGGTTTCGCTTTAGCGTTTTGTTAGTGGTTTGTGTTTATTGTGGGGGGGATTAAAATAGCCATAGAAGACTTTTCTCTGGCAGGTTGTATAGCTAGCCTGTTGAAAGTTAAATTATTTTATGAAAGTAGTGGTTGGAGTTTTTTATATGATAAAGGAAGATTAATAATGAAGTGATTTCTTAAAGGAAAATTGAGGACCATAATCCAGTTGTAAAAGATTTTTACAAAATTGAATTACTCCAAAAAATAATTTGTTGGTAGTGCCAAACCTGGGTCTGTAAAATATTTAGTATCTTTAGATTTCATGGAAACTTTAGACTTCTGTCGTATTTTTATTGTTTGATAAGTTTGTGTCTTTTCAAATATTAACCCTCATAGGAATTATTTTTAACTTGTACAGAATACAGTGATTATTGAAATCTCTTAAAATTAATGGTTACTGAAATGACCATATTGTGAGGTTTTTTTTTAAAGAGTCTATTCATGGTTTTAATTTTACACTGTTAGATGTATCTGCTAAGTTGTATTTCCTAAACATAACTAGGCCACCTAATTGCCATAAGATAATTTAAAAACTTCATTTTCATAAAGCTTATTCAAGCTTTATTATTATTCAGATGTGCTTCAAGAATAAAGCACATCTGAATGGAGAGTAATTTACAGGTTATATGACCCAATATAAGGAAAAAGGAATTTTATTGCTGTCCATTGTAAATGTTTGCACTGTAGTACAGTCATCAATGCAGATTTACATTACTTATACTAAGATACAAAATTAATAAATATAAAGCATGGTGAGATATAATCACCTTAACTTTAAATTTAGTTTTAGAAAGACAGTAGAAAAAGATGCATTTGTGTGTATTACCGTTTAGAATTTTATTTCAACATCAGAATTGTAGCTTGCAATATTATTTTAATTTTTGTGTGGAACAGTTTATCTGCTTTTTCCTAATAACCATATATAACATGTAAACCTTAATGTTACAAAATTGCTTACTTGAAAGTGAAGTCTTCAGTTCTTATTTTCAAGAGTTCTCATTTAGAGATTTGCCTCATTTGCTACTTGTTCATTCGATGATAGCTTAATACTTTTTTAATAATTTTTAAGGCATTTAAGTAATCACTTAAGGGACTTTTGATAAAGGAGTATTTATTATGGGAAAATCAATTCATAAAGTTTCAACATTAATTGACACTCAGTAAACATTCTATTTTAAAATTTTCACCTCAGCCTTTTTAGTAAAACAAATTATAAGAAATGGTTTTATATTAGTATCATACTGTTAAAACAAAACTATAGGAAATGTTTTTATATTAATATTGTGTGTGAAATCAGAGTTTGTAAAGACAGAAGTGTACATGCATATAACAATTTTTGACTTACTTGAAATGTTAGGCCTTGGCTGTGGTGTATATATAAGGATTTACCTTCCAGAACATATGTTATTAAGCTAGTATAAGTAGTTTATTTAGTATCAAATTTTTACCTATAGAGGCCATTAGTTCTGAATTTTTATCCTCAGCTTGTTTGTGTATGTTAGATAAACTTGATTTTAAGTATTGTCAGTATTGGGGAATTCTTTTGTGGCCTGAATTCATTAAGTAAAGGTATTAGGATTTGTTCTAAGGATAGTGATTTAAGGCGTTTGTATCAACTTGTGAGATTGGGGTCAATAATGATTTCAGTAATTATCCAGTTCTGTTTTACAGTTCCTTTCTGTCTGGTAGCTTAGAAATTAGTTCAGTTGCTATCAGAGGTATCAGCAATGTTAAAGTTAAACTGAATAACCTTAGGTTGGTAAGGATTTATTGAGCAAACTGATACCCTAATTCTTTTATATGGGCCATATGCTTCACAGGCATTCTTTGCTAGGTGGTCTAAAGTGTTTTGATCTGAATAATGAGTCTCTTTGGAAGTATTGATTATATACACTAACTAATGTAAAATACTTTCATTTGTCAAGAAAGGTGAAATTAGTATATTGAATTTGACTGTTCACCTATCCCATAATTTTTTGAATGTTTGTCATTGGTTACAGATATTAGCAATTTGGTTCTTTTAATGTAAGTTGCACTGGAATAGAAAATGGCTGTTGGAAAATATTAATGTAGGAAGAATAAACAATTTAGTGGTAAAATAATTTTGGATGGGAAGTTTTAATTTAGTTCAAATATAGTTAAGGCAGATAGTCTTCATTTTCTACTTTTGGCATTTAAGAGATGTGTCAGTATCTTTAGATTATTAGTTATATAGTTGGTGGTGGTGGTGAGAATATTGACAGATGGATACTGTGGCTTGAACCTGTCAGCAGAAGAAAACTCTTAACCTATACATAGTGTGGAAAAGACAACTGTAAATACAAAATGTTCATATACTTATAAGTTAGATTCATTGTCCATAAGAATGAACAAGGAATCTGTGTGGACAGTGAATCTTATAAGTGTATGAATGTTCTGTGTATACAGGTAAAATGAATATAGTTAGCAAACTACCATAATATTTCTTAAAAGAGAACTTATTTTCTCTTTAAAGAAGAGACTATCTTAGTGGATATTGTTTTAGAATTTTCAAACTCGGTTAAATCTGTTT